CGGTGCGCTCGGGGGGGTGGGGGCCACCCGCGGCCCCCGCCGCTCGTGGCAGGAGCTGCCGTCGCTCGGTATCTATTAAAAGCAGGCCAGGGCTTTATATTTAACTCAGCGCTGTCTGCGTGGTGGAAAATAGATGAGGGGCATTTGAGGGGGGGTGGATTTTTGCAGGTGCCTCTGTCAGACGGGTTTTGGCCTCCATCTGGCTAGGCAGCGCGGGCGGGATCGCTGCTGCCCGTGCCTCTGGTTTACGGTCTCATGGTAAATCCCCGCTTGGGTGAAGTATAATGGCCAAAAGCGATATTGGCAGTGCAAATCCAAGTGCTTAGGAGTGGATGGAATCCCTGTCATCTTTTTAAACGCTTTGGCCAGAAGGCAGCATCACCTTCTTGCTCTTGGAAAGGCGGAAGAAATGTGGTGTCGGTCAAGGGACAGGGTTTGCTACGCCGCAGAGATGGCCTGCCCAGTGCTGGGGTGAAAGTCACCCTTTTAGGTCAACCGGCAGCTCCCATTGTCCCACCAAAGCAGCAGCACAGGGCCGTGACTGGGGAGCGAGGAGCGGAGCAGCGCAGCCAGGGGTAGGGTCCCACTCTGTCTCTCTCTGACCCCAGGCAAAGCTTTTTTAACCCATTTTTGCATTGCTTCTCCCTGGGAAGCCTAGAGGGGCCGTGGTGCATCCAAACACAGGACGAGCCATGCAGGTCACTAATAAGGAGGCATGTTTTAGCCGAAAAAGATGCTACAGTAGCTACAGGGGAGGCTGGGGCCACCTGCCTAGGCTGTTTTGGGAGGAAAGGAGCAGGCGGAGTGTACAAAGTGGCGGATGTTTGCTTGGCAGATGAAAGGCTTCGCTCAGAAGTAGGTCAGATCACGAGGGCCCGTGAAGCGGCGGCAAGAGCGGGCTCAGCCCGCCCGGATCGGCAGTCAGAGCCTGGCAGGGGTGATAATGGGGATCCAGCACATCCCAGGAGGAATTAGCAAGTAAAAGAGCCGCAGGAGCGAAGCGGGAGGTGGACACCAGTTCAGGGAAGTCAAAGCACTTGGTTAAGGCTTCACCGTTTGCGATGGCTGAGAAGTGCCTCCCCCTTACGTGGTGCAGAGCTTGCCACGGTCTCGGCATTTGGGTCCACCAAAGCATGCTGCCATCCCCATCAGGGGCGTGTGGGGAGCTGACGGGGGTCAGGGAAGGGGAAGGTGCGAGAGGGCATCCCACAGAGCTGGGAGGACCACGGAGCCCTCGAGGCCAACGAGAGCCAGGCTCTTCCGCTGGGTGGGAAGGAGCCTTTCCCAGGTACCCTCCTTGGGCGTGTGAGCATCCCGCCCTCTGCACGGCATTTGGCAAGCCCCAAAGCCATCCCCTTCAGCAGTGACTGCATCTGTGAGGATGCCTGTAGGCATCACGGGGACGGTGTGGGCTGGCAGCTAAGGGACGAGACCCAGCAGAGCAGCGTACATCTCCCATATCTCTCCCGATACCTTCCTTTCTCCCTCTTCATGCCTGACCTTGCATGTCCCTCCTAAGCTTGATGTCCCTGCTCTCAGGCAGGACCAAGGGATAGCAGGTCATGGAAAATAGCGGGTACTTCTCCTCCTGACTCCCCATGACCCTCTCCCTTTATGCCTTTCTCCCAGGCTGGCTGAAGGACAGAAAGGACTGAAAGTGGAGAACAAAGCCTTCGTCTCCAAACTGACTTTCTTCAACGTCTCCGAGCAGGACTACGGCAACTACACCTGCGTAGCCTCCAACCAGCTAGGAAACACCAACGCCAGCATGATCCTCTACGGTGAGTAGTGCCGAGGGAGCTGGCTGGGGAGGGGGCACGGCTTAACGGTGAGACCGCCGACGTGTGAGACACGGGAAGGGTCTCTCTTGTCTTTTGGGGGAGAGGTGCGTTTGCTGCTGATTCTTTCTGCCCCGGCACGTGGGTTGGAGGTCATGGCGAGCCCAGGGAAAGTGTGAAAGCCTCCAAACCTAACTCCTGACTCAGGCCCCATGTCTGCCACTGCTCTGAGGTGTTTGGCACCGTGTTCGGGGTCCGCTGTCGATGCAAAGTTAGGACTTGGCTGCAGGTTTCCATCTTCTCGCTCTGACAAATACCTAGAAGAGTCTCTGTTTCAAGGCATCCTCCTGTGTTGATCGGTGGGAGGGGAAATGGCGCTCAGGGTCGTCGCGGCAAACCTTCAGGACCACGCTGCAGGCTGCCATGCCATGCACCCCGTGCCCGCCCGAGAACAAACGGCCCCCGTGGCTCTGCCACCTTCCAGGTCGTGTTTTCCACTCCTGCCAAGCAGATATATTCTTACTGACAGTGCCAGTGAGAGAGAGGTGGGAAGGTGCAGAGGGCAGGGAATGGGAGCAGCTTTGTACCCTCATCCGGGGGCTGTTTTCTCTGTGTGCCGGAGCGGTGGTGAGAGCGGTGGGTGAAGACCGGTCGTCCCCTCGTACCCCCCTCACGGCCGGGAAGGGCTGTAATCACTCGACACATTTGTCAAGCCTCTTCAGGCAGCAGCAGAGCCAGAGCAGAGGGTCGTGCTCCCCAGATCCTTCTCACAGCCACTGAGAGCCGGCGATAGACGGCAGACCTTGTCCCCGGCCACTGCCGTGGGGATATTTCCCTGCCAGGGATATGGGGCAGGCGGTCCTCACTGCTAAACCATATGGGAGAAGTGGGGCTTGGAGACCTCCGTCCTCTCCTGACGTCACCCCGACATTGTCCTCCTCCTTGCCACCCTCCCTCCCCCTGGCAGACCCACCCCATGGCGAGCGCTGACCATGGGTGCCATTAATACCAGTCTGTGGTAAGTGAACCACGGGGCCGTGCGGAGGTTGGCGTTAATCACCGCTAAGAGCGTTTGATGGAAAGCACCGGTTTCCTACGGCCTCGAGCCATCCTGGTATTGCAAACCCTTTCCTAGCGTGTACAAAGGATTTAATTAAACCCACAGAGACCGTGCAGGAGACCCCCTCTTCCGGAGGAGAGACGGGGCTGGAGCGCAGCAGTGTCCCGGTGGGTCCAAACGTGGGGCCTCAGCCAGCTTGTAGGCGTGCGATGGTTGCAAGAAGTGGAAGGAAAACCCAGTAAGAGAAAGGAAGCGTTGCGGGGTAGGAGGAAGGCTGTCCCTGGAAAGCCGGTCTCTTTGCCGCTGTCCTCCGGCGTATCTTTGCAGAAGGCAGTGCCCATCTCGTGTCTTCCTTCTGTTGTCGTGTACGTGCGTGAGAAGCTTTTCTGGTTCAGCGTGACCAGCTTGGCAGGGGCTGGGTAGGTGCTTCTGTGGTGTTTGTCACCCTTTTGTAACGGCCCTGCGGTGTGTTGTGTCACTCCCCCCTCTAAAGCAGCACACCCTTTTTTCCTCACGGATAGTTTTGTTCTCCCTGGAAGGGGGACGATGTATTGGCAACCAGTTGCCATCATCCCAGGCATCTCCATCGCCCTGGGCACGTCCCATGTCGGTGTCTTTGCAAAGTCACAAATCGTCGATCGTCATGTAATTTTTCTCTTCTGTTGTTTTCTCCCGGAGCGCACAAGCTCAAGCAGCGTACGCCGGGCAACTTGCAAGGCTCTGTGCTGCAAAGCATTGTGTCCCTGGCTGTTCTGCCTTGTCTTTTCCTCGCCTCTTGTTATTGTATGTCTGGAGAGGAGCAGAGGGGGTGACGAGCTTTCCCTGTCCCCAGGTCCCTCGGTGGGGCGGCTCAGGGCTAGGAAGCTGGGCGCTTGGCGGTGCAGAGCACACCGGGATAGCGGGCAGTCCTGAAGTATGCGTCGGGTTGTTTAACGCATCGTTGCAGCATGGTGAGCAAGGTGTGTTGAGACCCTGGGAAGCAACGTCTGCTTCTCGCTATCCTCGGGGGGGGAGGCTGGATGTGGTTCGGGGAGCCCCAGGCCGGGGAAGCGGTTTCTCTGGGGAGAGTGGAGGATGCCGGGCTTTCCCGGGAAGCGCGCTCCGCAGCCGCAGGGCCTCG